AATTTAGGCCATTTGAATCAAGACATGTTAAGTTTTAAAACTAGCTTATTTTAAATTTATTTTCTCAACACCACCCATTTTTGCAGGCGAGAAAGTAGAATGCCATGATCAACTGTATCAAAAGCAGCTGATAAATCCAACAGCACCAAGACAACAGTCACCGGAATCAGTTGCTAAAAGTATACCATTAAAAACTTTTAAAAGAGCTGACTCTGTGTTATGAAATGGTTTAAAAATAAAATGAATCTTCACACATTTTCCCCAAAAGTAAAAGATAAATGAGAGAGATCAATAATAATGCCAATAAATGTAGCTAAATCTGATATAATAAAGCATAAATATAAAAGTATTTGTTTCTGAGTTTTAATACTTTGCTGACATCTGGTGGCAGAACAGAGGTAAGGCAGCACTCGACAACGTCACTACAAGGATCTTCATCCATGGTTTATCCTGCTGGAGTAACTACAGCCAATCAGTCACTCTGGATAACAGCGAACTTCCTTAATTTAATTTAATTCATTTAAGTTTATTTGATAGGGACAGATGCACATCAACATGGAGAAACAGCAGTCCCATGTTTGCATCAAAGTGCTTATAGTAACAGCTGATTCACAGCCCTTGTCCAGATGGGCTTTTTAAACAGTAAATCTAAAAACTAGTAAAAAAAATGAAGTAATTATTTAAAAGGCACAACATGATGTTAACATTTACAGAATAATGCATATAAAAACAGTGAAACATAAAAACATACAAAACATTAAGTATGGATGCAGTTCTGTTTTTGACATAACCAGAGTTTTGTGTGAGTGTTGTTTTGTTGAGTTCATGAGCAAATTAAGTTTATTTAATGCAAAACTTTACTTTTATTGCAGAGGAGAAGTTCATTCAAATCCACACAAATCAGAACTTAACCTGACTTTGGAAACAAGTCAGGTTCTAGATCAGTGAAAGATAAAGACAGATTGTTTTTAAATGTTGAGCATTAATACAGTGGAAAACAACCTACATGTTTCAAAATCAAATATCTGCATAAGAAAAAAAATAGTGTTTAGGAGAGAGAAACAGAAAAAACATGTAAAAGGTATAATGTCTTATTCACATATAAACAGAAGATACAAATCATTCACTAAACATATATTTGCAACATCGTAAGGGATTGGATCAGCTGATTCTACAAATTTTCTGTGAAACAAGAAGAAATTAAAAGAAACAACAGCAGTCATAACTTAGAGGAGCAGTATTGTGTATTTTCCAGGCACATAGTGTCATTTCAATCTGGAAAGACTCTGACGAAGAAAAAGAAACAATTAAAAGATTTAATGACAGCAATGAATAACAGTTCTTTGGCGCTCGGGCCCTGGCAGCTGATAGGCCATCTGAGGGGTTACTGTGACGGCGCGGAGCCAAGCTGGAGGATGAAGGCCAGCTGAGGGGTTACAGTCTGGAATGAAACCTGAAAATAAGGGTGTAAAGGACAAAGGGGAAAGATATGCGAAACATTGACAAGATAACATTCACTTGCATGAGGTTGACCAAGCACCACCAGAGAATTGGGCAGTGCTCGTCTGGCACTGGATGTTAGCGTAAGGCCAAGAGAAAACCTCGAGACCGGTGAACATAGTCAAAACATAGACTTTTTTTTTTTTTGCCTCAAGGTTGCGTGCATGCAGGGCTTTGAACTACGATGAGCATGAAGAAAAAGCCGAGACTCAGAATGGGGATGAAAAACTGAGGAAATATACAGGCAGGATGAGATTAAGCTTTGAAATGGGTGACTTGGTAACATTTAGAGGCAGAAAGCTGAGTAGTAGTTTGGTGATTCTGTTTGTTGCTTTGGTTTTTGATGGCAGCAAATCAAAATGTTCTTGTAGAAACTATGAGACTTTTCTTACTCTGTTCAGAGTTTAGTTCCTGGAGCAGCTCTGAATCAGACACTGTAGAGAGGGCAGGGAAACACCTGTACCTGCAGAATCTCATTCATATTCATTTTATTAACTTTTAGCTGTGATGATACACAGCTCTACATCATGATATCAACAGGTGACTCTGAACCCATCCAATCATTGAATAGATGCTTAGAANTTCCTGTGCCACACAGGTATGGCTGTCTGTCTGGGAGCCACACCAGCACTGCAGGGGATGAAGTAGGAGCTGGTCTTCAGACACTCAGGAGTCAGCTTCAGACACACGAAGCAGAACTCCACCTGGCAGCGAGGACATGTGATGTTCTTGCAGCCCGTCTTGTCGTGCTCCACTGTCTGTCCACAGGTGGGACAGGCCCTGATGGAGGGACAATCCTTGACATCCCGGACCTCAGGGAAGGATGTGGTCTTGCAGGTCCTGAGCAGCTCCAGGTCGTGGTTTTTGCAGTCGTTATTGTCACAGCGATCGGAGCGTGGAGCCGGACCTTTCCACGGCTTCAAGCACTGCCAGCAGAACTGGACCTGTTTCTTCTGGTCTGCAACGCAAACTAAGCACTGAACGCAGAGGTTAGTCAGGTTCCTTCTTTCAACGTAGCTCTTACACCCAGGGCACTGTAAGAGGAAGACATGATGTTTTAAGCAGAACAGTTAAAGTGAAGACTGACCTGAAGTTAGAGACACTTACTTCTCTAAACTCCTGGTACTCTGCAGCAGCCAGGCGAGCGATGGTCTCCTCAAAGTATTCCATCTCTTCAACGCTCAGGTCCGCCAGGCGACGCACCTCTCGATACGGCCACACAGC